GTGTGTCAGTCCCCACAGACTGACACATTTACATGCCCAATTTTACCATATAAGAAAAGCATGTTTTCAGCCTGTATATAGCGAGAAATTACAACAGCTAAAATTGCATTAGAGTGTAAGAAACTGGGAGCTGGTTCCACAGAAGGGCGGTCTGAAAGGTGAAGGCGCTGCCTCCTCATTCTGATTTAAATATCAGACGAACCACATGTCTGAGAGCGATGTTAATCTGTTAGTGTGATGTGGTGTCTTTAAGATAAGATGTCTGTTTTGTCTGAAATAAGGAGGAGACAGTTGCAGTCTCTGTGGATAGTTTATCCCTGCATAACGTCAAACGAAAAATCAGACAAAATGTCATAATAATTGTTCCAGCAGTAGACTCACAGTTCCAGGTAGGTAAAACGTCATGCACAAATACACTGAAACATTTCTGTGTACGTGCAAGTAGTAAATTTACTTCAATTTTTGTTTTGTTGCCTTTTTTATAGCATGCGCAACAAAGGAAATCCTGTCATGTGAGACAGATTCTTAAGCTTCCTGCATAACGTGAGTCAAATAAATGCAGAACAAACATTTGTAGGAAACTTTGCAATAAAACTGAGGGACAGTTATAAAGAAAACACATTAAAAACACATTTTTAGCACAAAACCACACTGTTAATCTCTGCTGCAACCGTGACAGCAAAATCACAGATAAACGTCATTTGCTGTTTGCACACAAACATCAGCAGCAGTGTGATTTCCCTGCTGACTGCAGTCGGTGCTCTACAACAGAAGTGATCCAAAAATAAACTTTGGAAGTTGTGAACTTCAACTGAGAATTGAGGAACTGGGTGTCAATTTAGTCGAGTCATGTCGGTCAGAATGAAATTCCCCTAAACGTAGAAATGAGCTGCAACATTCAGATTGTGAGAAACATTTGATAATATCGCTCAGCGTTTCAAGTTTAAACACAGAGAAGCTCTTTAAATGACTGACACACAGATTTTGAGCTTGTTTCCTCAAAATGTAAACAAATACCC